GGTGAGGATAAAAAAAAAAAAAAAAGGCAGAGCACCTAAATAGACACCTCTCCAAACAGGACATACAAATGGCCAAGAGTTATACAAAAAAATGCTCAAAGTCACTAATCATCAGAGAGATGCAAATTAAAACAACAATGAGGTATCTCCTCACACCTGCCAGAATAGTTGCCATCAACAAATCATCAAACAACAAGTGCTGGTGAGGGTGTGGAGAAAAGGGGACTCTAGTACATGGCTGGTGGGAATGCAGACTGGTACAGCCACTATGGATAACAATAAGGTGTTTACTCAAAAAAATTAAGAATTGAACTTCCATTTGACCCAGTGATCCCACTTCTAGGAATATATCCTAAGAAGCCTGAAACACCAAATCAGAAAGAATATATGTACCCCTATGTTCATAGCAGCACTATTTACAATTGCTAACATCTAGAAACAGCCCAAGTGTCCAACGATAGATAAGTGGATAAAAAAGCTGTAGTACATACACCCAATGGAATACTATGCAGCTATAAGAAAGAAAAATCTCTTATCCTTTGAGATGACATGGAAGGATCTGGAGAGTATTATGCTAAGCTAAATAAGCCAGTCAGAGAAAAACAAATATCATATGATCTCACTTATTTGTGGAATATAATGAACAAAATAAGGTGATGAACAAAATAGACCCAGAGACATAAAAGAGTACAGACGGACAAACCTCAGAGGAGGGGGCAGGGTGGAGGAAAGAGATAAACCAAAGAATTTATGCATACAAGCATAACCAATGGACATAGACAACAAAGCTGGGGTGGGGGACCAGAGGAGGGTGTCAATGGGGGGGGGAGGGGGGAGAAACATTTGTAACAAAATTAATGAATTAAATTAAAAATAAATAAAATCACCCTGGCCAGTTTGGCTCAGTGGTTGGAGCATCGGCCTGCGGTCCTGAGAGACCCGGGTTCGGTTCCCGCTAAGGGTATGTACTTCGGTTGCGGTTTGTCCCCGGCCCTGGTTGGTCGTGCGGGTGGCAACCACTCGATGTGTCCCTTCACGTCGATGTTTCTCTCTCTCTCCCTTCCTCTCTCTCCCTCCCACTCTGTCTGTACAAAGGATGGAAAAATGTCTTCAGGTGAGGAAAATAAATAAATAAATAAATAAATAAATACAATCAATTAAAAGTCAACATCAAGAGAAGTTTCACCTCTGAAGTCAATCTATATACCCACTGGGATAAATTCTCTTAAATTTCTCCAAGCATCACAAAAACTATCAAAAGGAATCTGACATCAGGCCTCACCACCAATGGGACTCAAGAAACCCCACAAGACCCAATAAAGATAAGAATGTCCTAGAATTGTATATTTCCACTCTTATAATTCTTGTTTCCTAAAGTCTATTTATAGCACCTCCTATGCCCTACAGTTCATACTCAGAATATTTGCAGGGGCTTTCATATTTTTTAAAATGTCAGTTAGAGATATTAAAGTATTAGAATATACAGCATTTTCTACAAATGAAAAGATATATCATTAACAGGAGTAATCTAGCAGCTCTCATTTGCTCTACCTCATTATATCAGTTTAAATACTTTTTGTACGTCTAAGAGACCGACAGGAAAGCCTTCCTTCAACACGGCACACTAGCTTTCAGGCAAGACGGCACACGTGCAATGAAATAAGTGGCCAAGTTCTTTTTCCTGCTTGCTCTCAGCAATGTATTAAAAAATGTAAGCCAGATAGTGAATTTATGAAAATATATTTATCCTTAAGCAAAGCAACATGCAATTCTAAAACAGAGGCAAAGGCTTTCATAAGTATGGAATTTTCACAACCTGAGAGACACTGAAATGCTCGTACAGGTGTTATTCTTTAGAACATATACTCAAAAATAACTGCACGTAACAACAGTCCAACTTCAGAACAATATCACAAAAACAACATGCAATATAAACCAAGGATAACAGGTTAAAAGATTTTTTTAATTAAGTAGAAATTGCTTTCAAATTGCAGTTTGATAGAATTCAAGCAATGGAGTTCTTACTCTGAGTAAGAATATGAAGAATTGAAAATCCTCAGAAACTATGCAAATGTCCATATGTCTACTTTACTGGAGAAATAGCTATAGGTTTCATTAGATTCCTAAAAGGGTCTCTAGCTCATAAAAGTAACTACTACTTTATGTTATTTGCAATTTAAAAAATCAAGATATTGTTAGTTCACCACTTTTATAACTGCAGCTAATTATGAAGGTAATTATTTTTAATCCAGGGTCAGCTTGGGTTCTGCATAATCATTTTTAAACCAATGACAAAAGGAAATTTAATTTAAAACACTGCAGTGATTTTACTGTCTCAGGCTAATTTCTTTCAACATTCTCTTCAAGGACCCATACAACTGATTTCTTAGATCAAGAAATTTACTTCATGATATTAGCAAGAAGACAAGAAATAACAAGTGCGGGTGAGGATGTGGCGCAAACAGAAGCCCTGTGCACACTGCAGGGTTCCACCGAAATGAATGCCCAGAACAGGCCAGTGCAGAAGGACGAGTGGTAGAGGAGCGGCTGCCTAGGGTGGGGAGGGGGATAGGAGAGACTGTTAATGGTGCAGGGTTTCCTTGTGGGGTGACGAAAATGTTCTACAACTGTGATGATGGCTGCACAACTCTGAAAATGAACTAAAAACCACTGAATTAAATTATAAATGGGTGAATTGCGTTATGTAAATTGTACCTCAGCAGCTGTTATTTAACTGTCTTCTTTAAGTTAGCATTTACTTTTACTTCTCTGTCAGGATCTCTGTCCATCATCCCCATTCTCTCTAATCTCAAGTGAAGAAAGTCTGATTACAAGTTTGTAGATTTTTATCCAAATTTTCTAAAAAAAAAAACAAATAGTGCACAGAAAACAAAACTACAATATATAATAACTTTTCATGTAAATGTTATAAAAACGTATTCACTTTCTGAACTTCCTAACATATTCTACCACTACTTTCCAAAACAGAGAAAAAAAATGTTACTTGATAAAATAATAAAAGATTTGTAAACGGAGACCCTTTCTCTTCCCTTTGTTGTCTACTCCTGCCCACAGCAAGGCTGGGTGGCTTAGTAAGACTGCATAAACACCACCTGTGTGATTTTGAAGATTACAAAAGTAATTCTAATCGAGGTTGTCCCTTAGTATTGGACAGCAGGGGCTGAGAAAAAGTTAAGTGGGAAAGCGCTTATTGGTATCCTACTCTGTTAGTTTAGAAAAAAATAACCCTGTATTATTTTTTAATTACAAATATTTTATCACTTACATTATGATTTCTTTTTTGGCTCATGAATTATGGACAAGAGAAAGGGTCAGATAGTTTTTAAACACACGGTAGGGATGGACAGGTTATCCTTCTTTACTGCTTTCTAATTTTACTTCATTATAATCAGAACCAAATGATCTGTATGACACTGTCTCTATCCTATTTCTCTCAAATTGCTTTGTGGACTACAGGATTATACATTTTTATGAATATTCTAAGTACACTTCATAAAAACGAGTCCCTCTGGCCGTCAGGCGCATAGCTCTGCACACAACCATCAGGCAGTCCTGCTGCTGTGCTGTTCAAATCTTCATGGTCTTAACAAGCTTACGCCTGCCTGGTCTTAAAGACTTTTACAGATAGATGGTGAATATCTCCAAGGAAGACTACGTTTTTATTAATTTCTCTTTATAATTGTGGAAATTCTTGTTTTATGTTTTTAGACTGTTATTTAGTCCAGGTTCAGGTTCATTACACCTCTTAGGAGAACTGTTCCTCGCATCTTTATACAATGTTCTCTTTGGTTTTTGCTTTCAGCCTTTTTGTCTGATATTAACGCTATTCTATCAGCTCTTCCAGTTAGTATTTCTGTATTAGGTAGGGTTGATCAGACGTAGAACCACTATGAATGATGAGAGTAAGAGGGTATTACAGGAAAGTAAACAGTAATTGTGGGAGCTGGTTGAGTAGTTTATGTAGAACTGTAACTTCTACGTCTAGTGTTGGGACAGAGGTCAGAGGGCAGGGAATCGGGAAGGAAAGACAGATGTTACATGGGGAATCCAGAACTCACGTTGTCTCTCGCCAATCTTGATGATGTGGGTGCCCTGCAGTATAAGCTGGCATCCCTCACCACAGTATCTATACATCTGGACTCAGAATGCAGAGAAGCTGAAAGGAGCTGGAGAAGCCGCCTGAGTCACAGGTCAGGGAGGAGGTATGTGAACTGCAAGCATCCTGACCCTACACCACCCTCTGAGCATAAACACAACATCTGCTTCACTCCCACCTTACAAATCTTACATGAATGTCTCCTGTAGTCAGCCTAACCTGGGACCATCCGGAAAAGGGAGTTCTAGGGAAAGGACTTCAGTTTAGTTTCATGTTGACATAATACAAAGCCACAACAATCTGCATGAATATTTTCTTTTATCTCTTTAATTTTATTCTTTCTGTATCATTATGTTTTAGGTCTGTCTCGTGTGTGTGTGTATACACATACACACATACCACATAGCTGGATTTTTCTTTGATCCTATCTAGACTCTGTTTTTGTTTTGTTTTTTAATCCTCACCTGAGGATATTTCCCTATTTATACTCAGATAGATTGGAAGGGAGAGAAGGGGGGGGGGGAGAGAAAGAGAGAGAAACATTGACACGAGAGGGACACATCTACTGGTTGCCTCCACATGACCCTGACCAGGGCCCGGGACAAACTGCAACTGAAATACGTGCCCTTGGCTAGAATCGAACCCATGACTCCTTGGTCCACGGGCCAATGCTCTAGCGCTGAGTCAAACTGGCCAGGGCTAGACTCTGTCTTTTAATTATCATGTTTAATCCATTTACACTTATTGGAATTTATAACTCTTATAACTTAAGAAATAGTGTCTTTTTATTTCATTAAAAAATAAAATAAAGCAATACCTGTACTGAAGATATATGGATGATTTGTGTTTCTGAAGTATTTTATATACATAACTTGTTACTTACCACTTCTCCAGCAGAGGCAGCCAACATATGCTTCACAGGCATCGTATATGAAGATGAATCAGTGTGCAAAAACCATTTCACATATTCATAGGTGATAAAAAAGGCAGCAGCTGAAATTTAAAACAAGCCAGTGTTTCACAAAGTTAAGAAATATGTTTGTCAAAAAAATTACAACTCTTGTCCAGCTGGTGTGGCGCAATGGTGAGCACCAATCCATGCACCAGGAGGTCTCTGGTTCAATTCCTGGCCAGAACATATGCCAAGGTTGTGGGCCGGGTCCCCAGGGGGGGGCATGCAGGAGGAGGCCGATGGATGTTCTCTCTCATCAATGTTTCTGTCTCTCTCTCCCTCTCACTTCCTCTCTCTCTAAAATCAATAAAGGAAAAAAATTATAACTCTAGTTAATATTTTATGACATAACAGATAAAGATAATAAACATATACTCTTCCCCCATCCCCCTCACTTTTGCAGAATTTACCAAACCCATTATTATACGCCTGACCCTGGACTTACAAAAATACAGAAGATATGATACCTGCCCCAAAAGAGCCTAACATCTAACCTAGCATTTCCCATTTTGTACTAACAAATCACTCAACATGTTTTGGTAAGCTTTCTATAGAAAGGGATATAAATGTCCTTATACAGTCATAAAATAATCAGTATAGACAGGTTAAAACTGCAAACACATACCTTAACTAAATAAAACATCTAATGATATTTTACTGCTGTTTATTCAAAATAACCAGGATACTTTTTACTATATCAACCCACCTTCACATCAACAAAAGAATCAAGAATTAAAACTGGAAATCAAAATCTCAAGAAGCCAGTCCTATCACAATGAACTGATCTTAGCTGCACAAGAGGGCTTTAAGACTTGCCATGTACTGTTAATCAAAAGATGTTTATCACTTCCACAAAAGACAAGACATAGAAAATAAACGCAAGAAAAATTCATCTTTTGAAAGACATATGAACATGTCAGATTGAAGTCTGAAGCACCCTGGAGAAGAGTTTGCTAGTGAAGCTCAGTTCTCCACAGTCAAAGTCAACAAGCTTTGCTGCTGTAAACACTCCTCAGGCTGCTAAGAAACACACATCAGTGAGGAAGCACACTCTCCAGAGCAGCAACGACCAATGCAAGCAGTTTCATCTAGCTAACACAGGTCCCTACTCCCATCTGCGGTTCCTAATAAGACCACTCACTAAACATACAGCTGGAGTATCTCCTATTGCACTCAGCTAAATTCCACCTGCTATACAATCCACCCTCCCAACCCCACCTGCTGGGAGAAGGGAGAAAGACTACTAAAAGTTTCTAGGTTTTCATGGTTAACCACCTCAACCTGGTCAGGCCTTACTGCTACTTTTATGATAAACAGTCCTTTAGAAATGTAAGCCCCAAAACTCTCCTGGGTGACACCCAAGAAAGCCCTTGCTAACTGAAAATGATGGCACAATAAGGTTCCAAATGAGGCTCTAGGCAAATTACAACAAAGAAGGGAGGGGGGGCTATCTGATGCCTACAGCTCTTGAAGCTATTAAAAAAAATAAACTACTATGGTTTTTCTACATCCCCTTATAAATAGGGAGTGAGGATCCTGAATACAGGACTTTTGATCTCTTCTAGCCTTCAATCCCCTCCATCCCCAACAACTAACCCCTGCAGAAAACATTCCCCAACAACTAACCCCTGCAGAAAACATTCCCAAAAAGTCTATAGCCACTGAACATTACACTGCTGTATTGTCCTCAGACTAGGATTTTAACTAACAGCAACAGGAAAAAAAATGCCATAGAAAATTTCAATTCATCAAAAATTTACAGAAAAACAAAAAGACCCATTTCTGCAACCCTGGCACCATTTATCCAACGTCTCCAATCCACTGATGTTCTGTGGACAGCAAAAGAAAAAAAAAAAAAGCCTGGCAAGACCACCACTTTATCACACACACAAAAATCCAAAACCATATGCTGTATGTAAACTCCTGCTGGCAAGAATCTAAACCAGTCCTGTGAGATGAATGAAGCGTCATGCACTCTGAGACTATGGCTAATACCACATCTACCAACAGTAATCCCTAGTTGCAATATACAGAAAAAGAGATCTTTAGGACAATGAGAGAGACATCATAAAACTGATGAACAGCCCTGGCTGGATGGCTCAATTGGTTGAGCATCGTCCCATGCACCAAAAGGTTTCAAGTTCAATTCCCAGTCAGGGCACATGCCTGGGTTGTGGGTTCAATCCCCAGTCAGGGTACATACAGGAGGCAGCCCATCAATGCTTCTCACATCGATGTTTGTTTCTCTCCCTCCCTCCCCCACCTTTTCTGTCCTCTCTATAAATCCGGTGAGGACTAAAAACAAAAAAACAAACAACTGATGAACAAAAGATAGAGACCTAGTAACATATTCTTTTCAATTCCCTTGTTCAAAGGTTCCCAAATTTGTCTGCATTTTAAATCACCTGGGGATTTTTTTTCAACTTCCAACTCCCAGGTCATAGCCCATCAATTAAATCATGGTCTCTGGAAGTGGGACATAGGCAACAGTACTTCATAAAATCTGATCAGGTGACCACATGATTGCAATGTGGCCAAATTTAGGAACCCCTGCCCCTCTCCCATACACACAGCCACACAGCTACACTTGGCACTGAGTGTGTGCTCAATAATCACGCTCTATAATCAACTACTGGAAGATCTGAGACAAATAAAAATTCAAGGACAACCTCAAAAGAGTTTGCTGTTCTTAGGACTACTGGAGCAGAGAAAGAGGAGAGAAAGAAACAAAGGGACCAAAACACCAGTGTCTCAATGCACTGTAGGTCTCTACGTGAATGCTGTGCTCACCTGTGTACGCAGGTGAACAGTTAAATGTCAAGTTAACATGAAATAATTTCTCACAAATTATCTTGAGAAAAAAGAAATCAACCCCCAGGCTTTAAGAATCTTCTAGAGCAGAGGCTCCTAACATTGTGTGGGGTGGTGGTGGTTTTCTCATTTGCTTGGTCAGTTTCCAATGCCACATAAAGCATCCACACAGCTACACTTGGCACTGAGTGGATTAAGTAAAACAAATTATATTTATTCTAGAATAAGTCACTTGATGTGACTTCAAACCGAAAACTAATGCCTCTCAGATTCATCTGCTTCAGAAGATGCCTGAGGCAGCAGCTATTACATTCACTTCACATTGGAATCACCTGGGAAGCTACCCCCCCCCCCCCCCCAATAATCAGGCAAAGGAAGCCCAGACCAATTAAACTTCCGGGTGTGACACAGGCACCAATAATTTTTAAAGCTTCCCAAGAGATTCCAATGTGCAGGCAAGGTTGAGAAACTGCTCTAAGGTATCGGAATCAACATTAGAATAACACTTTAAGGATTGTAACTGGGAATTTTCAAAACAAAAACCATTTTTAAAAGATTGCTTTTTTTTTTCCCTAGCGCAATGGGATCTAGAGCTGATTCAAATTAATGGGTTAATGAATAGAATACAAATTCAAAAGATAAGCCACAGCATACAAGAAATTCTATATGGGGTAACACCACATATCATTCTGAAAACAATCCTATTATCTTGGCTTTACAGCAAGGAGAGTATCAATATAATTTTTACCATTAGGAAAGGATCCAATAGCAGCAGAAGCAACGCCAGCATATATTCCATGAAAACCACCAGCCTTGTGAAACCCTTGGGAACTCTGCAGCCTCGTTTTAATGGTATCCAGAGGAAATAATATCAAGTCAACAGAGACACCTGCTACTCCACCAGCCTTTAAAAAAAAAGGGTGGGGATAAGAAAAGAGAAAATAGGTCACAATAAAATAAGCTCTGCGGTTTGGTAGTAGGGATAAGAATAAGGTAGTCTTTAAAGCATGTTTATCACACCTGTCAGTTCATGGACTCCTTGGCATAGTTAACACATTGTTGACCAGCAATTTTACGCAGAAGTTATCTCATGTCACCGGCTATTTTTTCGTAATTGCATATGAAAGTGAAACAATCTAAATAAACTTTAGTATACTTTATTTATACATAATAAATTTAAATGAAACTTTGTACATATCTGCTACATATTACATTTTATACATATTATATATTTTAGTAATTTTTTTGGTGTGGTACACCGTATAGCAATCACCTTTTGAAACACACACTTTACACATTCTAGTTGGATTTTTTTCATTCCAGTGACTATTTTTTCTAAATCGTGGTCTTTTAGTTGCCCTGAAAGCCTAAAAGGTGAATATAAGGAGCTCTATTGTAAGTACCATAAGAAGTGTTAGGGCCCTGGCCGGTTTGGCTCAGCGGTTAGAGCGTCGGCCTGCGGTCCGGAGAGACCCGGGTTCAGTTCCCGCTAAGGGCACGTACTTCGGTTGCAGTTTGTCCCCAGCCCTGGTTGGTGGTGCGGGTGGCAGCCACTCGATGTGTCCCTTCACATCGATGTTTCTCTCTCTCTCTCCTTTCCTCTCTCTCCCTCCCACTCTATCTGTACGGGAAATGGAAAAATATCCTCGGGTGAGGATTAAAAAAAAAAAAAGAAGTGTTAGGTTTTGAGTTGCACTAATTTGAACCAGCAGATATCCATTCCCTAGCTACTTCAAGAATATAGAATGGTGTGCTGTTTTTCGAACTTCGACCCTCAGGGTGAAAAGTCACAAACTACAATAATCCTATATTACCCTGAGTTTCAAAAATTAAAATAGCTAATGCGAGTGCAAACACGAGTTAACTCGTGAGCGGTCAGCAATGTTTGGGCATAAAAACACAAGTGAACTCAGCGGTCAGCAATGTTTGGGCATAAAAACACAAGTGAACTGGTGAGCGGTCAGCAATGTTTGGGCATAAAAACACAAGTGAACTCGTGAGCGGTCAGCAATGTTTAAAAGACCTGCTACCTAAATCTAGAGAGTTTCCTGGGGAAACAACCATTATTGTGCTATATTTTCAAATTGTAAATTTTTAAATACATTTTTCTTTCTAAAGCAATTTTTTTATTTATTTTTATTTTTTTATTTTATTATTATTTTTTTATCCTCACCCGAGGACATTTATCCATTTTTTGTTCAGATAGAGTGGGAGGGAGGGAGAGAGAGAGAGAAACATCAACGTGAAAGGGACACATCGAGGGGCTGCCACCCGCATGACCAACCAGGGCCTGGGACAAACTGCAACCGAGGTACACGCCCCCAGTGGGAACCAAACCTGGGTCTCTCTGGTCCAAGGGTCGACACTCTAACCACTGAGCCAAACTGGCCAGGGCTTAAATTTATTTTTAAGTAAATTCATTTTTATATTGAATAATTTATGTTTATAATTAAGTTTCTACCATTTATTCATTAAAAAATGACCATATGTATCCCTGGCCGGTTTGGCTCAGCGGTTAGAGCATCGGCCTGCAGTCCGGAGAGACCCGGGTTTGGTTCCCGCTAAGGGCATGTACCTCGGTTGCAGTTTGTCCCCGGCCCTGGTTGGTCGTGCGGGTGGCGGCCACTCGATGTGCCTCTTTCACGTCAATGTTTCTCTCTCTCTCTCTCTTCCTCTCTCTCCCTCCCACTCTATCTGTGCAAAAAATGGAAAAATGTCCTCGGGTGAGGATAAAAAAAAAAAAATGACCATATGTAAACATAAATAAATTCATTTTTAATACTTTCACATGGTTCAAAGTCTCCTTCCCTGTTCCTGGTAATCAGATAACCACTTTATTTTTTTATTGTATCCTTCCAAAGTTACTTTAGCCATATACAAGCAAATATGAATATGTACTTTATTTTCCTTTTTAAAAAATAAAAGGTATACACAATATACACTCCGCTGAACGTTATTTTTTTCACTTAATTTATCTTGATGATATCTCCAATCAAACCAAATGTTATATTTTTGTCTAATGAGTGGTGAATCTGTAGTAAGACTTCTTTTTTTTCTTTCTTTTTTTTTTTTTTTTGGAGAATTCTATTTTTAAACAGTTAATGAGTCTTGTGAATCTAGATCCATATTTTAAGAATCATGTATCTGCCCTAGCTGGTTTGGCTCAGCAGTTAGTGCGTCAGCTGGTCAGCTGGTCAGCTGGTGAACCGAATGGTCGCAGGTTTGATTCCTGGTCAAGGGTATGCACCTGGGTTGCAGGTTCAATCCCTGGCCCCGGATCTCTCTCTCTCTCTCTCTCTCTCTCTCTCTCTCTCTCTCTCTCTCTCTCTCTCTCTCCCTCTCTCTCTCTCTCCCCCCGTCCCTCCCTCCCTCCCTCTCCCCCACTCTATCTAAAAATCAACGGAAAAATATCCTAAGGTGAAGATTAATAACAAAAAAAAAAGATGAGAATCAAAGCCAGCTCCCAGTACACAGATGGAAGAATGACAGAGAGGAAACTCACTGTGACTCCTACACAGGAATTCTTAAACTGAAATGTCAACTTTTACTATCCTTTAAAAACTATGTATTCCAAATCATAGAAAAAGAAGAATTAGCATTATTCAAACGTACAGGCAAAGTTCGACATGATCAGCTGTTTCCACCCTTTGGGTCTACAAAATGCTCAGGAGGTAGAAACTTAGTACCTAGCAAATGCTGTCTGCTCTACTTACCACTCACAATAAAACCACTGCAAGAGGTCATTGAAAAAGTAAAATTACTCTGATGAGAAATTCAATAATTAACTAGAATACGTAAATTTTTGTTGTTATTAATCCTCAACCCAGAATATTTTTTCATTGATTTTTTTTTAGAGAAAGTGGAAGGGAGGGAGGGAGGGAGGGAGGGAAGGAGGAGAGAGAGTGGGGGGGGGGAGAAAGTGAGAGAGAGAGGTGTAAGAGAGACGCCAACTGGTTGCCTCTCCCACACTCCCCGACCAGAGCAGGAGATTGAACCTGCAAACCAGACATGAGCCCATGACCAGGAATTGAACCCAAGAACCTTTGGTGCTCTGCCCAACACTCTGAACCATACCAGCCAGGAGAGTACAAGTAAATTATTAAAAATTAGTTTATATTAGAAAAGCACATTACCATAAACATTAATACTATACTATATGATCAGTTTGAAAGACATGACAGAACCTCAAAGACCATGAAGGTCTACTCAGCAGAGGACCTAAAACGATGTCACCAAAAAACCAGAGCTGTGCCAGTAGAGAACCACATGTGGCTGTAAAAGAATGACAAATAATGTGGGATTTCTCTCTGGATATAAAGGTGGCCTTTTCTAGGTCATGGGAAATGGTTCATAAGTACTGTAAAAAAGTTAGAAAAAAAAAAGCCACCTTTTTCAACATTTTTCTCGCTTATTTTTAAACAATTTTTATAAAATTCAGTATGCAAATAAAATATTTTGCCTGCCTCTATTTTCTCAAAACTCAAGGAGAACTAAAATTCTGCTGAGAATGTCCGATACAAATGGATTCCTTAAAAACATGCTGCACTTCATTATCATTTTCTCTCTAATCTTAGGAGAAGGTTCGGAGAGTGCATGCTATCTACTCCCAAATTTTAACCGATAACTTAATTACACTTTAAATCTCTTTGGCTATATTGCACACACTGACTCTCTAACCCTTCTTCATCAGAATTCTTATCTACTGAGAATAACATGACCATATTCAATCTACTTATCTAGTAAAACATAAATCAAAAGTTACTCACTGCGTATGCAGATTTTAAGCTTTTGTGACTCAGATGTCATTTAAATTCATAAGACTGAGGGGGGTAACAGAGAGCAGGAAGAAAAATACCTACATATTTATCCACACAGCAACATATTTAAGATTTAAACAAAAACTTTGAGTGCTCATAATTTTACATCAGTATTGTTTTGTTTATAATTAATGTACAAAATATACAAGCCAACATCAGTTGAATTACAAGAAACTCTACCAAATTATTTTATTTTTTTAGCCTGATAAATTTGTTTTATTTATGATCATTTATCATATAGGTTCTCTCAGGTAAATGATTAGTTTCAAGATTTATGGTAACTTACACTGAAAATGGTAACTTAAGAATTAAACAATACCCAAAGACATAGAACACAACCCAGGCAACCAGCGAGCCTCACTACAGCATAACAATTAATTGTGACCTTGGTATCATATAGATAAAATACACATCTCTACCTCAAGTTAAAAGACTTGAGGTAAAAAGTGTTGGCAGGCTATAGAGAGGAAGTGTCTAATCAGTGCTTTGAAATTACTCAGGGAATTGAAAAAAGTAAAGACTACATGGTATAAAACCTTCATTTCTCAAAAGGAGGCTGCACAACAACAGGAAAAAAAATCACTGCTGTTCACCTACAGGATAAAACCAAACCACTAAGCAAAACCATCACAGGCCACTGGCCTAAATCACAGCTAAGAAGCAGCAGCCAAAATATGAACGCAGCTTCTCAAGGAAACACCCCTCCTTGAAATTCTCAGTTTTCTCCACCATGAAGCCACCAGTGACTTGAAGCTACTTGTCAGTGAGCTGCTGCTCCTGCTTCCTGGATCCTTTCTTCTCCCCACCCCCATTCATCCATCCTGCAGCTCCTTGTCACTTCTACACTGATGGCAGAGCCACCTTTGTAAAATGCAAACTTCAGTTTCATCTCACCACCTTCCAGCCTCTATGTCCTCCAAACTTTCCAGTAGCCCTTAGCACGCAGAACAAAATCCTGTAAGGCTCTGGAAGTTCTACTTCTCCACCCTTAATTCCACCATTTGCCCTTCTCACCACCTTGAGCTCACTTTTCCTCCTGATCTTCCTCAGCTGTAGGACTTTGTACTAATCCAAGTCTAGGGTTAGACCTGCTTGTTTCCACGTGCTGATCACAATGTTAATTCTGTAACTACTGTCTGTATGTCCCACTAAGACCGCAAGATCAAACCTACTGTGTTCACCAATATGTTCCCAGCACCAGTACACAGCAGGCACTCCATTATTTGAAGAATGTATGAATTAATGATTATAAGAAAGGGTTACTGGCCATATTTTAGAGGGTACAACAAGTCAACCTTAAAAATGTACATCAAAATTTTTAAAAATTGCAAAACACAGGGAAAATATAAATGGCCAACAAAATTATGAAAAGATGCTTCCCTGACATTAATGATCTAATAAAAATAAATTAAAACATTTTCCTAATTAAATTAGAAAAGGTTAAAAATATGAACAGTTATGGGCACTGAAAAGGGAAACAAATTATTATAATCTAGTGAAAGACGATTTGGCAAAATGAAAATTTTAAATTATAAAGCCCTGATCCACCTATTTTATTTCTAAATATTTCTCTCACAGAAATGTATAAGTATACAAGAATGTTTACTACAGATTAACAGTAAAAAATCAGAAATAACCTCAAGTTCTATCCCAGGAGTCTTGTTAGATCAATTCTTACATCAAAGTAATGGGCTACCACACAGCCTTTAAAAAGGTCAGTTTAAACTCACGGGCACAGAAACATGCTAGATTCTTAAGTTAATCAAATTCACTATACAGAAATATATGCTAAATAATCCTGCCTTTCACAGAAATGTGCATCTATTTATATATGACAGAAGTCCAGAAGCTGACACACTAAATTGCTAAAAGTTATTACCTCTGTGGAAGACTCAGGATGGGAGTATTCTTACTATTTTGTTCATTTTTGTATTGTTCAAATTTTGTTGAGTATTACAAATATATAAAAGTAAAGCTACTCAAAATTAATGCTCTCTCATCGAAAAAAAAAATCCTAATTCACTGTTTGTGTTTGGTGTGCAGTAGGCACTCAGTAAGGGGTAACTAAGAACCTCGATCCATGGCCCAGTTTTAAACTACCTGTCTAGCTTCATTTCACACACTCTAACAAACCTTGAGCCTCAGCTGACATGTCTTGAAATTTCTCATGTCTGTGCTCCCATTTAGGCTTTTCTCTCAACCTAGAATAACCATCCTATGGCCACTGTCTCCTGAAACCAGCAAACCACCTGTTGCCCTGCCAGCATACACACAGACAGAGACACACACACACACACCTGCCAAAATTTTGGTCACTTTTAGAACTGTAACCAAATACACATCCTTCCTAAAGCCTTTCCCAATGTCCCAGTCAGAATTCAATGCTACTCCTTTGGCTCCCCCATAAAACATTGTTTATATTTCGCTTCTGGTACTAACCACCATGTCTGACATTAAGATCCTACAGTGGAAACCAGGTCAGTCACCTCTGCCTTCCTAAATATCTATTCCGGCGCCTCATATATAACAGCTTCTGCACTTGTTTTTTGGTTTAAATCAAATGAAAATGTGAAGTTCAGCCCTGGCCTGTTTGGCTCAGCAGTTAGAGCGTCGGCCCGTGGACCAGAGAGTCTCTGGGTTCAGTTCCTGCTAAGGGCACGTACCTTGGTTGTAGTTAGTCCCCAGCCCCGGCTGGGGTCCTGTGGGTGGCAGCCAGTCAATGTGTCTCTCACATCGATGTTTCTCTCTCTTCCTCCCTCTCTACCTCCTGCTCTATCTGAAGATAAGAGGAGAAAAAAAAAATGTCCTCAGGTGAGGATAAAAAGAAAATGTGAAGTTCAAAAATTTAAAAAGTGCATTAAGTCACTCCTTGGTTGTCCTGTTGTGACTTGCCACAGCACTGTGACAGTGAAAGCCAGTGTTGTCTGTCTGCTGCCACACTTTCTAATATTCCATAGCTACACCACAGAACTGTGGTACATTCATGACTTCTCCAGATATCCTCTGCTTACACCTCCTGATGGAAAAGACTGGATGCAGTTTCATTTAGTGAATGCAGTAATGGTTCTAGAATTTGACTTGAGTATTCTTCCATTTCTCTAGAACTTCTTTAGAGTAAATATTGCCTAAAACCACAGCTTTGGCATCAGACAGACAGACAACCCCTCGAGTACATTGATCCAAGTTTGGAAGTTGATCCAAACTTAGAAAGCAGTATGACGCTTTGCCAAGGCATAAAAAAGATGTTTGCTCTGTTTTATAAGTTATATGACTAGAGGACCAGTACCACTCAAATTATTTTTGATACATTTTTTTTACAAAGAAATAAAGCCTTAATGTTTCCAATGTTTTAAATTACAATGTCCTAAATATTAGTTTTACTATTTTTTCACTTCTCTATACATTTACAATAGACAAGAGAGTTTTCACTTTTAACACTGACAAGAATTTTTAAAGATCATTAAATTTTCATAATTTTTCTCATCATCAAGACTACTTCACACAACTTCCAGTTGCACTTTCATTTTTACAGCCCTACACTAACATGCAAAGGGTGGCCTGTGCTTTTCACTGCAGAGCGCCCACACCTGCCACAGTCCTTCACCTAACGAGCACTGCTTAGAAGTAACTGCAGCAGGGATGATCATCGTTTCATTCAAGAACCAGTCAGGTGAGTAGATGAACTACAAGGTCAATGAAATAGTGAGGTACTCAAGAGGAGAGAGAGAAGGGGCAGGCAGGAAAAAAACAGGATGTGATAAAGGGTGTGCTATTTTTTAAAAATCTAGCCCTGGCCAGTTTGGCTCAGCGGTTAGAGCGTAGGCCTGCAGTCCAGAGAGACCCGGGTTCGGTTCCGGCTAAGGGCACATACCTCAGTTGCAGTTTGTTCCCAGCCCTGGTTGGGTCGTGAGGGTGGCAACCACTCAATGTGTCCCTTTCACGTCAATGTTTCTCTCACTCTCTCTCTCCCACTCCATCTAAACAAAATATCAAAAAAAAATCTAAAGTACATTTTTGTATTAAAAAAAAAAAAAACCTAGAAAAAAAAGTACAAGCATACCTCGTTTTGTTGTGCTTTGTTTTACTGCATATGACAGGTGTTGCATTTTTTTTTTTTTACAAATGCAAGGCAAGATCCTCCACCAGCAAAAAGATTAAGACTCACTTTTTTGCTATACTCACTTTATTACTGTGGTCTAGAATCAAACACGCATCTCTGAGTTATGCCTGAAATGCTGTCAAAATTATTTTCTATTGTCTTGGAGAATTTCAATGCAGCTTTTAAGAAAATGAATGGAATAGTATTTGTAATTAGAAATACTATTTTTCATAGTAGTTTTAATTAGGCATAAACGGATGTACACATCTACCGTGTTGTATTTATTTTTAATCTCATAAGCATCTTCCATGTTATCATGGTACATGCTCTTCACAAGCACTATTGCCAGCACTATTGCCATGGGCCACTGAATAGTCCATGAAATGCATCTGATATCATTTACCTAGCCATTCCTCTTCTGTTTAATATGTAAGTGGCTTCCTATTATCTTTGCTGAGTTCAATGTTATGGGCAGCTTTAGGTTGCTAATACTTAGTTCCAAGCTACTTTCCTAAAAGCATGCACCAGTCAATGTACTCTTTGAGGTGTCTTTTTTTTTTTTTTTTTTTTTTCTGAATAGCCCTCTCTATGCTCCAAATCAAAACTAACATCCCAGAGGCTCTCCTCTTACTCAGTTCTACAGCCCTTCAAAATATTTACTAAAGGATTCTTTTTTAAAGTTAAAAAGTGTTGATACTAGTTGTTTTCTAAGAAGTTAAGCACTACTGTCTTATTGGTTCCAAAGAGCAGCATCAATATACCCAAAGGGCAGAAAAATGCTTGGAAGCAGAACAAGCAGATTAATTATATACCGAATGGATGAACAGGTATGTCATTTACCGAGACTGAAAAAAGAAAACGGCAAAATGGCAACCACAGTCTCAGACAGCAGAGCTCTGAGCGATTCAAGTAAGCGCGTCTCTCTTGTTACAAACATGCCTGTATGATGCCGAAGTTCCAGTGCAGCTCCAGTAATTGAAGCTTTTAAGTAGCGAAAATGTCCTCGTACGGAAGACGGCGAGTCAAGCAGCCCCCTCCCCCGTGTCCTTCTAGCGTCGGGGTAGGAAAGCCGTGGCCTCGACAGAGCCCCGGCGGCGGCCCCGGAGCGCCACGCTCGCTCCCAGACCTGGAGACCGGCGACTGGAGGACAGTTCAGCGCGCAACACCGGAAGAAATTGCTAATGCAGAGGAGCCCTACCCCCGCCAGGGCCGGACCCGGCACCCCCAGCACACCACTCCACCGCCCCGCACTCACCACCAGCGACGCCGTGAACCCCGGCCGGTCCATGGCACCGGCAACTGTCAGCGCTATAATTCCAGGTTGAGCCGAGGCGAGTCGCAGCCCGGGGCACTGGGCGCCGCCACCTTGGAGGCGGGGCCTGAGCTGCCCGCACTTCCGCGGTCACGTGACGGCGAACCACAACAACTGCACGTGCAACCCAGAGAGCTGGACCGGGGACTCCGTAAGGGGCGGGGCCTGGGAAGTGTGATCGAGCCAAATATCGCGACTCTTCTCTGCCTCCGTTTCCTGTAGCAGCCTGTGATTCGGCTTGGAGAAACTCTCGCGAGCAAACAAGCCTCGGCTGGGAGCCGGGAGCTGGGAACCTTGGTGAGGGCGGGGTGGAGCCAAAGTGTAAGCCAAAGAGGCTGGAGTAGAGGGAGGGCCATGGAAGGGCAGAACTAGTTTCAGTGGGCGAGGTTTGTGTTATCAGCTATTTTTTAATGTCTTATCTCTCGATTTTATCTGTACAAATTTGTTCCGAATTATTAAAAAACTCAATATCAGAAGGTCATCAAAGATGTAGAAAAACTAGCATCATCCACTTCTTACTGGCAATTATTGCACTTGTTCAATTATTTACTTGCTCATCTTGTTCACTGTGGTACCAACGTGCACACCTTGAAGACCACTTTCTTAAGTGCTTAGTAAAAGTTTCTTGGAGTGGACCTGCCTTTACATTTATTAAATAAATACCTTCTAAATTTCCATATATTAAGGGTCCACTACATCTCAGACGTGGCACTAGATGGCTGATAGTTCTCACTTGATACTCAAAACCGCACTGTAAGGTATGTACCATTACCATCCTCATTTTACAGAGGACCTGGGTGCTCCAAGAGGTTCAGTACTCAACCAAAAGCTACAGAGAACATAACAAAGCCAGGCTTGAAGTTTTACTTAATGCCTTCAAAACTTATGCAACAGCCTTAGCCGGCTCCTTGTCTACCCTTTTTCATTCCATGTTTCATACCACTGCTAGAATCTTTATTCTCTTATGGGTGAGATGATCCAGAAATGATTAGCACAATATCTTGAGGGTATCAAATTCTGAGCTATTACCTACCAGGTTTAGGCATAATTTCTCTAAGACTGAGTTTCCTACCTTGTAAAGTGAGGGTAATGACAGTAACATCTTTGGTACCATTACAGGTTAAGTGAGATAATGCATACACATTAACTTACTTCCTGCAGAAATACACCCAAGATGGAAGCCACAGAATTTTGTAACCTAATCTCTGAGGTTGCATCCCCACCCCTCTGCCAGCCCAGAGTCAGGGGATGACCCAAGACATGAGTATAAGGCAGCAGGGCTCAATGGGGGCAATCTTAGAGGCAAAATATATTTTTCAAATATACCCCCCAAAAAACTGTATGATGATTGGACACATTAAAAATGATCTTTCTGCCCTGGCCGGTTTGGCTCAGCGGTTAGAGCGTCCGCCTGCGGTCCGGAGGGACCCGGGTTCGGTTCCCGCTAAGGGCATGTACCTCGGTTGCAGTTTGTCCCTGGCCCTGGTTGGTCGTGCGGGTGGCAGCCACTCGATGTGTCCCTTTCACATCGATGTTTCCCTCTCTCTCTCTTCCTCTCTCCCTCCCACTCTGTCTGTACAAAAAATGGAAAAATGTCCTCGGATGAGGATTTAAAAAAAAAAAAAAATGATCTTTCTGCCTGGCCGGTGTGGCTCAGTGGTTGAGCGTTGACCCATGCACCAGGAGGTTACCAGTTCGATTCTCGGTCAGGGCACATGCCTAGGTTGTGGGCCCGATCCCCAGTGGGGGGCATGCAGGAGGCAATCAATGTTCTCTCTCATCAATGTTTCTATCTCTCACTCTCCTGCTCCCTTCCTCTCTCTCTAAAATCAATAAAGAAAAAAAAATTTTTTTTAATGATCTTTCTTAAGATCTGGAAACAACCCAAGCATCCATCAATAGATGAGTGGATAAAAAAGCTGTGGTACATATATACAATGCAATACTATGCAGCTATAAGAAAGAAAGATCTCTTATCCTTTGAGATGACATGGAGGGACCTTGAGAGTATTATGCTAAGCAAAATAAACCAATCAGAGAAAGACAAATACCACACGATCTCACTTATTTGTGGAATATAATGAACAAGGTGGGCTGATGAATGAAATAGACCCAGAGACACAGAAAGGCGTATGGTTCAGTGTGGGAGACTTTTTGCATGGCATCCATTTTGTTACAATCTGCTCTGCCATCTCCTGCCCCAAGGCAGGGTCTCTCTGCATACAGTGTCTGCATTCCTCTAGATAATTGTTTACTCTGCTGGCCGTTCTTTGCTTGTCATTTGTTCCACCTGGGGTGTTTGTTGGACTTTGCTTCAGGTGGGATACTCATTAACTGTTTCACCTGTTTTTCCCCTATATATTGTGTGAACTCCCCCCGAATAAACGAGACTTGATCAGAACCCTGTCTTGTCTCCATTTCTCGTGTCTCTAGTCCCTCCTCATCCTCACTCCCCCTCTAGAGTCCTCGTTGCTCACTCGACCTGCAGGACGGGTAAGTTCAGACTGACAGACCTCAGAGGAGAAGGGCAGGGGGGATGGATGAGATGAACCAAAGAACTTTTATGCATGTATGCATAACCAATGGACATAGACAATAATGCTGGGGGGTTAGGAGGGTGGGATGGGGAGGAGGGTGTCTAGGGGGGGAAGGAGAAACATCTGTAACAAAAATAAATTAATAAAAACTGAAAAAAAAAAGATCTTTCTGAGTTTTGTTTTTTTTGTTTTGTTTTATAGGCCGTTACTAATGAATAATTACTACTGCTACAGCTATTATCATCATATAAATCTTTTGTTGCTGAATTATCTCTAGCTAACTAAGCACACTGATATAGAACTGCTTAGACTTGACAAAGAGTGAATAAATTTTCTGCCATAATTGGGTTTTGTTAAATATTTCACTCAAGATATATATAAAAATAACCAGGATGAAATTTACTCAGCTAATTTTTATGTTCTCCAACAAAGATCTCTGATCTATTAGAAATTATCCTAGAACATTGTGGCTTGTGCACTTATTGTTTGAAAAGCCTGTCGTGTTGACATGCAATACAGAGATGCCCTTGCTGTAACTGCTGTCCTCTGTTGATGTGGCAACAGATTAGTCTAGGTCACCCTGTGACAGTCTCCTGACACAGGTGATGACAACAGGGGGTTTTTCTCAGCCACTGACTATTGCTACATCCAAGGGCAAGTTGAGCTGTATTTTCTTTGCAGTACAGGAAATAATGAAAAAACATAAATAGGATTCATGGTCTTCTCATGATAGGAAATTTAAACAAAAATGTCTGCCATTGAACCACAGTCTTCTGAATAAGCACAAATAAGAACTTTTATTCTTCTTCAAATTAATTCCAGCAGCAAGTGCTAAGCACTTATCATATGTCTAGAATAGCCTTTTTTTCTTTATAAACATCTCACCCTCCCAACTTTATTTTATCATGGTTAAGAAACCTGCCTCTGGTCCAATTTCTTATTTATCCTTGATGCCCAAACCATTACCTACCCCCTCAGAGACATCCCTCCTCTCCTTTCTCTCTGCAAAATACCTTGGTTTAGGTCCTCAAAAATCATAACGCAATGGTCATGAATGTTATGATTCAGTCATAGAAACCTTCTCCTGACTCCACATCCCCATTTCCAGTTCACTTGGACAGCTCTGCATGAATAAAAGAGACTGCAAGCATTTCGTGTCAGGCCCCATGTAGATGAACAACCCATTTCCTTATTTGCTTTCCCACTTGATCCGAAGTGCCACTGTGTGACTTAGATATTCTAATCGAGCCTAGACCCCTGGTTTATGAAAGGGAAACAGTAAGTTTTCACCACTTTAGAAGACAGTTGACAAAGCTAAATATAGTCTTAACATGTGATCTTGGAATTGTGCTCCTTGGTACTGAAATTAGTTGAAAACTTATGTCCACATAAACACTTGTACATGAGTGTTTATAGCAGATTTATTCATAATTTTCAAAACTTGGAAGCAACCAATATGTCCTTCAGTAAGTGATAGGATAAATAAACTGTGGTACATCTAAACAGTGAAACAGTATTCAGCGTTAAAAAAAAAAAAAAAAAAAAAAAAACACGAGCTGCCCAGCTGGTGTGGCTCAGTGGTTGAGCGTCAACCATGCACCAAGAGGTCACTGGTTTGATTCCCAGTCAGGGCACATGCCCAGGTTGTGGGCCAAATCCCCAGTGGGGGTATGCAGGAGGTGGTCAGTCGATGTTCTCTCTCATCGATGTTTCTATCTCTCTCTCCCTCTACCTTCCTTTCTCTCTAAAACCAATAATAATAATAATAAATCTATTACTGTTAAAAAAAAAATGAGCTATCACCTGGCCACAGTGGCTCAGGTGGTTAAGTGTCACCCTATGTACCAAAAGTTGCTGGTTCAATTTCAGGTTCGCTACCAATCAAGGCATGTACAGAAGACAACTGATCAATGTTTCTCTTTCACATCAATGTTTCTCGCTTTCTTTCCCTTCCTCTCTCTAAGCATGTCCTTGGGGTAAGGATTTTTAAAAAGAAAGAAATGAGCTATTAGTCAGTGAACAAGCATGAAAGAACCTTAGATACCTATTGCTAAGTGAAAGAAGCCAATCTAAAAAGGCTATGTACTGTACAGTTACTACTATATAACCTTCCGGAAAAGGCAAAACTGGGGAGACGGTAAAATAAACAATGGTTGCCAGTGGTTCAGGGAATTAGCAGGGAAAGGGATGAACAGGCAAAGCACAGAGGATTCTTAGGGCAGTGAAACTATTTTGCATAAAGCTATAACAGTAGATACATGTCATTACATATTTGTCAATACCTATGGAATGTACAGTACTGAGTGATTTATCTAAACTATAGATTTGGAATGATAATGATGTTTTAATATAGGTTTGTCAGGTGTAACGCATGAACCACTCTGGTGAAGGATGTCAGTGTTTGAGGAGGGTGTGTGTGTGTGTGTGTGTGTGTTTGGGGGGTTGGGGTTGGTAAGGAGTATATGGGAACTTTCTGTACTTTCTGCTGAGCTTTGCTGTGAACCTAAAACTGCTCTAAAAAAATAAACT